CAGGATACAGAGGGGCAGCAACCTCCAAGTAAGCACAAAGTGAGCCAGTCCTACGAAAGCAAGCAAAGAGCACTTTTATCCAGATACATGAATTGTGTGTGTGCCGTTGCATGGAAAGCAACCTGGCAGAAACGTGCAAGTCATAAATCTTCCTCAGCTCCAAAGTGAAGTCCCACAGGGCTGAAGTGGTGTGAGAATTGGACCAAGAGCAGCCATAATGATGCTCTGAGGCTGGTTGTTCAATAATGCCAACTTGCATGAAGGAAGGGCAGGGAAAGATATTGTCCATGGACCATGCAGGTAATGGTGTGGACAGAGTTGTCTGAAGGCCTGGAGAACCAAGCAGCGAGGTGCTAGTGCCCAGTAACAGCTCTGAATTTCATGTTAGGAATTGGCAGCCATTCTAATTTCTCAGGAAAGGAGAGCTGTATGTAAATGAGGCAAGTTAACTAAAAATGAGATGTAAATACATGGAAATAAGGTCATCATAAACAAGATTCAAAAATCATCATTTAAAGCTTCAAGGGAAAATGAGAATCTGAATTTTCCATTCTTGTCATATTTTCTGCCCAATACATTGATCTTTTCTCATCATATAATTAGCAACTGTTCTGTCATTCATATTGATGGATTACAATGTCTTTCTTCCAGTTATGGTTAGCGATAGTTACCTCATGGGTAGTCCAGACGATAGCAATGTCAAATGGGCCAAATCTTTCTTTTTACATTTTACAAATGGTGAATATTAGAAGTGAAACAGAGATACTTTGATGATTATTTTTCCTGTAGGTCAGGAACCAAACTGATATGTATTGGAAGATCAGCAAATCCTATTGTTATAGAGCCACGGCAAGGAGAAATAAATGTAAGTGAATTTAAAAAAAAGGTCCTTCCAGCCAGGGGTTTTGATCCTGTTTGCATCAATTAACACTCAATGCAGACATTCACTGGGAACACTGGTAAAGAAGAGCAGCCCTTTTAATGAGGCTAAGCAAGTTTTTAAAGGACTTAAATCTTTCAGAGAATAAGAGGCTGAGTGAGAAGATATCAAGATGGTGGATGGGTGAGTGAATTGCTGAAGAGTGTGTAATTGGGTGGGTGAGTGTAACAATTCTATGGTAGGTACCTGGGTAGCAAGTACATATCCAGTCCAAGTCTTTGACACTAGCCTTCACACTGATTCCTGGGAAATACGAATCAGCCAATTGGAAGTTGAAGCTTCATGGGCAATGACAGCATATGTGCATGTGTCAGACCATCCTCAGAATAAACACGATTGCCATTACCCTTGAGAACAACAACTCACGGACTGGTACCCAGCTTACTGATTCGAGTAGGCTGCAAGTGAATGCTGCTTGCTTACTGTCTTAGCAGTTACTCACTTATCACCCAGCTGCATGCTCACAGCAACTCTATCTTGCCTTGTCTTGCCAATCAGTGTAGCCTCATAACAGACAGCTTGCCTTGCTGGTCAGCAGTCCTCAGTTAAGGGGAGTACGTCTTGCACTGTGCTACACCAATCTCACACCTTCACCATGTGCCAGCAATTTCCACAACAAACATACTGTGTGTGCAGCAAGCAGGCATCCATGTCTCAAAGTCTTTAAGGGAGCAGTCTTCAATAAAGTCCATGGAGGCACCCATCAGTTAGGAGGCCTCGGTTCAGAAAGTCAAGAATAGCGACGCGTATCAGTCTAGGGGCATTGCAGCAGTCAGACATCCAGTTGGGCTGATCTTGGTCAGGGGATCCATGCTCCTGCAGTTTTGTGTGTGGGTCATGGTCACTTCTGTACCTCTACAGCGGCCAGTCCAGGGGGAATAGGACAAATGCAGTCAGGGAGATGTACAGCCTTCTGTGGGGGTCCAGGCACCTTTTATCCTGGGCTCTCTATTGAGGGGGGTGGGGGGGCACACAGTCAGTCTGTTGGCCCCATCCAAATACACTAAGGGGCATTGGGGAGGGGGGAGCAACAGGGTCCATTCGCATGGGACAAAGACTTGGAAACTTATTCTTTGGGATTGGGGGCTGCAGGCTGAGGGTGGGAGCGGGTGTCAGCAGGACCCCTTGCCCAAAATGGACCTTGTTCGTCTTGCTTTAACATCTGCAGCAGACTCTGAACACAGTTATCAATTCATGGGATGTCCTGGTTGGACATGAAGTTAACCATCAAGTGCCCTCAATAGTATTTCTCTTTCTCTCTCTCTTCCTACCTCCCATGACATTTTAGTACCCTCCCTGGTTCTGCGGCTGGGCCAGAAGGGGCCTGTTCAGCAGTGGACCCTGTTGGCCCTGAAGATTTGTTTGGGTGACTGTGGGGAAGGGGGGTGGGGTAGTGGTGGTGTGGTGGTTGTGTCTGGATGGTCCATACATGCTGAGGGTCTTCTAGCTAGAGCACAGTGAAGCTTTCTCGGCGTGAATACCTAAGGGTCCAATGGGGCAGCCAAGGTGGAAATGGGAGGCCAGGCCACCGCTGGAGTGTCCTCAGATGAGACTTCTGAGGGGTCTGTGTTAGGTTCTTCCTCCAGCTGGATGCCTCTGGACACTGACATGTCTCTTTGTGAGGAAGGAGCAACTGGAGTGTGTGCCAGAGTCCTGATGGAGCAGAGGACGTCATTCCCCTTCTTACAGTGCTGACCTAGGTGGTTGCCAGGGTCCTGTGCAGCACACCTTTAACCAGGACCTTCAGGTTCCTGTCACAGAATCGAATATCATCTTCCCTTTCTGCACCACGGTCAAGTTCATCATCATCACACACCCATCTTTCTATCAGTCTCAATTCAAAATATTCATACGCCTCACAGTTAGCACAGCTGCAAGCTTAAGTTACATCTCACACTCCGAACATAATGATGGAGAAGAAACACCATTACTTAATCTCACGGTCACAGCTATAAGCTCTGGTACTGACACCGAATGTGCTTTGGAGGACAGCTTAGAGTTGGGATTGACACATGATAAGGTAGCAAGCATCAGGTTGGGGGATCAAGGGTAGCGTAGGTGCCTGCTTGTTGGAATGCAAGATCCAAGCGTAGTAAGTGATTCAAATGCCATCTTAGACCCAAAAAGATCTGATTCTGAGCACCTGGATGGTGCCAGTTAAGCATGCAACTGCTAGTCTGTGATGGTTGCAGTCTGCTCGCATCTGGATAAGGTCACTTGAAAACTGCAACTGAAACAAAATCAGAAATGTAGAAAGGAGCAGTTCTGAAAATATGCTTTTCATGATCAAAAATGTTGGGAGCTTTCACTTCAAATTTTTAATATTGTGCAGTCAGTGATCTGAGAAGGTGCTGAATAGGCAAAACTGTTCAGCTTAGCACTAATCTTTTGCCTGTTCCAACTTGCCATGCTAACACAGTGAAACTATTATTGCACTGGGTGTACAAACGTATGTATAGTTCTTTCATTGCAGATCCGTAGCCCTGCACAGGTTTAAAATGATCTTATATTGTTAATGTATAGATTTGTAGAGCACACAAAGAGAGCGTTTGGTGTCTCATGTCTATACCAGCTCCCTGTAAGAGCTAGTCCTACGCCCCTGCATTTTTAAGCTCTTTAAATACAAAGCCAATACACTTTTGAAAATTAAGCTTGAATCTATTTCCATTACCCTATCAGGCTGTACCCTCCAGATCATAACAATCAGCTGAGCAAAAAATAGAGTATATTTTTAAAGTAGTGTAGCGTGAACTTTGTGTTGACAGTGATATTTCACCCAAATGAATTAGATTTACATTTTCGCAGTAATGAGATCATTAACTCGTTTTCGTTAAGCACATTTTAAGGCAAATTCTGTAAGAGTTAGTAGACCTGGTTAGTCTTTGGGATTGTTTAAGTTCTGCATGACACTATCACAATGCCAAGCAGCCACTGCAATCACTTTGTGCTAGATTTGCACATTACTGTGACCTTTACATACACCTATTAAACTGTACAGTCCAAAACTCCTAGCACAGTAAGTTTTCAAAACATTCGGAAAATTTTGTTGCGACATTTATGCTCAAAGCTGACATGTATTGTCTTTTATTTGCAAGCATGAATGTGAAAAGACTGGGAGGATTCATATCGAAGGAGAGTCCATTTTCAGTGTGTTACTTATTCATGTGTTTTCGTGGTAGGCGGAATCAATTGTATTGATTTTTGCATTTTATTCACTCCACACTCTGGCTAATCGCAGCAGCAGCAGGATGGTGCTAGATGTGAAGGCTTTCAACACTTGCAAACAAAGAGCACTGTCAAGAAACTCAAACTTGTCTGATAAAACCTTGTGCATGTAATGTTTTAAAATGAGAGTCATGACAAGCAGTCAGCGTTAATTGGTGAAAGCGTTTAAAGATTTACAGTACATTAAATGGAATCTCATGAGGAGCCGTGCCTGCACCAAAAAAGCTCTCCAAAACTTGCAATATGCTAACTTGTCATTACTTGTTTTCGCAGTCAGTTTTCATACTTTTTTGTTACTGCAGGATGATTTTCAGCGGTGTGTCACCGTTCACTGAGAAAATATTCTGTGGTTTCTTGTCAGCTAAGGTGTTGGAACTTAGCCGTGAGGTGGATGTGGCCAGTGCAGCAAACCTTTGGCCATTGTTTGTAATTAACTGAATGAGGCTGCACCATTTAATACCGGATTATTTGTTTCTGTGTGTGCCCCTTTAAAAATGTCCAGGGCTCTGTAGAGCCACTGAACTTGGGTGTTGCTAACACACGCTGCAATCCAAGTTGAAAAGCTATTGTGCTCCCCTTCTCCCCTGTTGTATGAAAGTACATGGAATGCATGCCAGTTGCTTTAAGTTGACTTGATATGAAGTACTTAAATAACAATAATTTCAGGCAGGTATGTACGTTCCACAACCTTTACTTGTTTGCTGTGTGATATTCAGATAGGATGCATCTTTGAACAATGACTAATCAGATTCATATGGGGTGGGGGGGGGGGGGGGTGGGGGGGGGGGGGGGGGGTTGGTTGTGTCGTGGGGGGGGCTCTTCATTATCTCACTAGGTGGCAGTGTACGACTACATCTGGAATGATGAGCACATCACACACCCGTCCTGTAGCTGTGCATTGCAGGAGTGCAATCAAACCCCTGGATCAGAAGCTGGCTGCGGAGAGATCACCACTCACGTGTCTATCTACATCATATACCTCAGTGGCTTGCAAGAGCTGTACAGGCATTTCCTTCGGCTGCCTGATGGTGCCATTGTTGAGGTATTTAAAAGAAAATATATTTTATAGCCTTGTTTAAGGGTTGTTACAAACTGGAACATTAACCGATTAAGCCTAGAATGTGATGTGTGCATTTAGATACGGAATGGTTTAACCAGACGTGTCTTTAGTTATTTTCTCCCTGCACTGGCACAACATGACAAAATATAATTTGCATGAAAATAGAATGGTTGTCAAGCGACTGAAGTCAAACTCAGTTCTTATGAGCTCAAAAGAATATTTCTAGCAATCTATATTGTAGTTTGCCACCATTTATCTTCATTTTTTTTACTGAGCTGTAATGTGTTCGCATTGATTCTCTTTTCTTCCAAATTGTCATCAGTTTTGTGTTACACTTTTATTATAGTCGATGAAATGCTGTGACATTGTTTCACCCAGCAGGCTACAGTAAAATGTTTTATCATGCGCAGTAAAATGCTGGTAATTTGTAACTTGTATTTTATGACGAGGAAAATGTATGAAATTCATTATCCAATTGCCAGATAAGTATTTCTTGATATTCATTCAGTCCCAGAAGTAATATTTTAAGAAAAGAGGTGCCTCTGTCAATTTATAAGGTATGGATATGGAGAATATTAATTGCACCCATGACTTCCATTTCAGTGACCTGATTTAAAAAAAAGAAAGAAAATGTTGTGTTAAATAGCACCCTTCACGGGCACAGGATATCACAAAGATCTTCATAGCCAATTCCATCATTCTGAAGTGTAGTCACTATTGTAATGCTGCAAACATACTCAGCAAGCTCCCACAATCTGGGAATCATAGAAATGTTCAACATGGGATTTGCTGTGGACTATTAAGTCCATGCTACATCTTTTGAAAGAAAGTCCAAACCTATAGAGAGTAGCAGTCACTCAGAAGAATCATGCTGGCCCTCAACTATTTACAAACCATGTCAATGACAGTCTAAGGGGCCAAATGTATGGTTGCCAATTTTGCCTGCAACACAAAGATACGTAGGAAAGTAAGTTGTAAGAGCACATAAAGTGTCTAAAAAAGGATATAGACATGAACAATGATTGTGCAAATGGAGAGACCTCTTATTTTTAAACAGTCTGCCCTAGTTTTTGTCTCTCCCACAAGAGTAAACATTTTTCCAGTATCCACCTTTTCAAGTGCCCTAAGGATCTTATATGTTTCAATAAAGTTATTTCTCATTCTTCACAACTACAATAGCTAAAAACCACATCTGCTCACCCCTTCTTCATAAAGATAAGCCCTTCATCACAGGAGGAAGTGCAATGGTGTAGTGGTATTGTCTCTACCTCTGGCCCAGAAGACACTGAGTCAGGTTTCATATTAAGACTTGATTGCTGCAGAAGATGTGTCATAATGCATTCAAACATATGGATTATCAAGTTGTAAATCTCTCTGATATGGCTATGATTGGCATATAAGCTGGAGGATTTCCAGTCAGGTTTCATTTGTAAATAGAATTCATTTCCCCAAAGAGCATCAGAGCTGGGTCATTACATTTATTCAAGGCAGAGTTAGATGTTTTGTTTTTGATGGACAAGGGAGTCAAGGACTTTGGGGACAAACAAGAAAGCACATTTAAGACCACAAGCAGATCAGCCATGAAGGTATTGAATGGCAGAACAGGCTGGAAGGGACAAGAGGCCAGTTCCTCCTCCTAACTTCGATGTTTCTATGGTCAGTTAATATTACTGCTGTGGCTCAATGAATAACTGTTGCATCTGAGTCTGATGGTTGGAAATTCAGGCCCCACTTAAGCTCAAAAAACAAGGCTGGTGTTCCCTGAGACTGCTGAATGATGCTGTTTTTGAGAAGTGATGTTAAAATGAGGCCTTCCCTCTCAGGAGAATGTAAAAGATCCCATGGTGCTATTTTGAATAGCATGGGTATTGTTCCTCATATCCTGCCCAATATTTATGCCTCAATCAACATGACAAAAATAAATGATCGGGTCATTATTGTGTTTGCTGAAACAAATGGATTGTCGCTGTTTCCTATCTTACAATGTATTTGATTGGCTGTAAAGCACTTTAAGCCTAAGGTCGTGAAAGGTTTCGTATAAACGTAAATCTTTCTTTCATTTAGTTTTTCCTCACAACTATTTTCACCGCTAAGTATTTGTCTAATTCTCTTTTGAAGGCTACTGTTGAATTTAACACCCTACCAGACTTTATCTATACATTGTGTGAAGAAATATTTTCCGCATGTTGCCTTTGGTTCTTTTGCCAGTCATCTGATATCTGGTTCTTGATGCTTCACCAATTGGTAACAGTTTCTTTACTGACTCTACAAAATCTTTAAGCATTTAAATACCGCTACCAATTCTTCTTGTAGCCTTCTCTGCTCTGAATAACCCTCGTTTCTCCAGTCTGTCCATATAACTGTGATCCCTTATCCCTGAAACCATTTCAGTTAATCTCTTATGTACCTTAGCTAGAGCACACTGGGTCCTTCCTTTAAGTGGGTTGCTCAGCTTTGGACAGGACACTCTATCTCAAGACAGACTAGTATTTTATCTTTTTTTTTATATACATACATGGGGTGTGTAAATCCGTGGCAAGGGTTGCATTTATTAACTTTATTATTATTATTATTTATCATTATCGTCCCTCCCTAATTTCCTAAAGAAGTTGATGGTGTGCTGCCTTTTTGAACTGATACAATCCTTGGGGTGGGGGTACAGGACTATTTGGAAGGGAGTTAAAGATTTTTGAGCTCGTAATAATCAAAGAATGGCGATAGCTCCAAGAGAGGATGTTGTGTTACTTAGAGAGGAACTTGCAGGTAGTGATGTTCCCATGCGTCTGCTGTTTTTCAGTACGAACGTGCAGAAGCAGTCTGTTTGGCCCCTCAAGCCTGTTCTGCCATTCAGTAAGATTGTAGCTGATCTGTTTGTGTTTTTAACTCCACATTCCCATTTGCCTTCGATAACTTTTGGGTGTAGAAGTCAGGGATTTGGAATCTGCTATTGAAGGAGCCTTGGTCAATTACTGCAGTGCAACTAGTAGATGGTACACACCGTTGCTGCTGTGCATTGGTGGTGAGGGGAGTGAATGTTAAAGGAAGTGAATGTGGTGCCAGTGAAGCAAACTGCTTTATTATTGAGCTTCATGAATGTGGTTGGAACTGCATCCATCCAGGGCAAGTGGAGCCTTAAAGATGGTGGACAGACTATTGGGATCAGGAGGTGAGTTGCTTGCCACAGGATTCCTCGTCTCTGGCTTGCATTTGTAGCCACTGTATTTATATGGCCAGTCAAGCTCAGTTTCTGGTCAATGGTAAGCCCAGTATGTTGATAGTGGGGGATTCAGTGATAGTAACACCATTCAATGTGGAGGGGCAATGGTTTGATTTTCTCCTGTTGGAGATGGTCATACCCTGGCTTTTGGGTGATGCCCAACCTCATGATTTTTGTATTTCATGCCTGTGTTGATAAAACCCAGGACCCCATATATTTTAACTGATTTGTGTACCTATCCTGTCCAATATTGGCTCTAATATTTTGGGAAAGAGCTATCTGAGCATTTTGTTTGAGTGCAGAGATTCATTTAATTAGTTTAAATGTCTGAGCACACGTGCTAACTTAAAGCAACCAGCTTTCTTATGGCCTGCATAGGAACTTTCGGTTTCTGCAGCTCCTGTGGCTTGGAGGGACATTGGCTCTGTCACCCGCTGTGCTGTGTGAACCTCTGTGTCTCTCTGTTTTCACAGAGAGATCCTCAATTTAATGCAGGTATGAAAATGAAATCCTGCAGCTGTTGGAAATCTGAAATAAAAGGGAAAGATGATGGAAACTTTCAGCAGCATCAGTGGAAAGAGAAACAGTTCTGATCTTGACCCAAAACCTTAACCCTGTTTCACTCCACAGCAGCTGCCCTAACCTGCTGAACTTCTCTAGCATTTTTTGTTTTTATTTCCTCAGTTTAACATCTCATCCAGAAGGCAGAATTTCCAACACTGTACTTGTGTATTTAGCCAGGATTTTGTGGAAATGAAATGGAATTTGAACTCATGACCTTTGGAGTTACAGTGTTCCCAACTGATTCACAGCTGGTATCACAACTTAATGGAGCAATGAGGATCACTGGTGAGCTCTGCAAGTTGAGGAAAACAACAGAGTAGGTTTAGCAACCTGGTGCAGTTCCAGAAAAGAATTTAAATGGAAGTCTAGGGCAATACAAACCACAAAACTAACAGGAGAGGCTGGATAGGCTGGGATGTTTTTCACTGGAACGTGGGAGGTTGAGAGGTGACCTTTATTGAGGTTTCGAAAATAATGAAGGGTACAGATAAACTGAATGGAGAGTGTCTTTTCCCTAGGGTAGGAGATTTCAAGACTGGGGGCATATTTTTAAGTTGAGAGGAGAAAGATCTACAGAAGACATGAGGGGCAATTTTTAACACAGAGGGTGATTCGTGTGTGGAATGAACTGCCAGAGGAAGTGGTCGATGTAGGTACAGTTACAGCGTTTAAAAGACATTTAGATAAGTACATGAATAAGAAATCTTTGGAGGGATATGGGCCAAGCTCAGGCAGGTGGGACTGGTTTAGTTTGGGATTATGGTCAGCATGAAGTGGTTGGACAGTGTCCTCTTACTGTGCTATATGACCCCATGACTCTAATCAAATTCAAAAGTGTTTGGATGCCCATTTTCAGAGGTCTAACACATTTACCTTTTACTCACATGTTTCAAACAGGAGTGAAAATGTGCACTGGAAGGAGTGGGGGGGGTTGGCATGGTGCTTTGGTTGGAGTGGGGGCCCAAGAAGGGAGGTGGTAGGTTTCCTTATTACATCCCATTTCAATAGTAAAACATTTTCCAGCAAAATGCACAGTAAGGTAAACTGAGAGCAGGGTCCTTTATAGTTGGAGGAAGTGTTCTTTCAATCTGAAACTTAAAGATTTAAAGCTATGATAAGTCACAGGTGTTTACCATGCCAAGACCGCTTCTAGCTGCGGGATCAAGTTTATTTTCCCTAGTGTTTTACGTGAATTTTGACATGTCAAACCCACTTTTATAGAACTGGCACCTGCTGATGTGTTATCTTGATCATACTGTGGTATAATTGGAAAGACCTGGTCTAATACTGATGGAACTCTGCTTCTTATTATGTTACACAGTAAGATTATTATGGTTTCATCACAAATTTGGCAAAACCATTTAAAAATCTGCATTCCAGTTTCTGAATAGAAATAGACGAATTGGAATCGACCATTCAGGCCTCAAGCCTGCATTCCAATGATATTTTGGCTGATCGGTATCTACCCATTCACCTGCCTTGCCTTCATGTCCCTTTATAACTTTGCCTAGAAACAAAAGTGACCTCACATTTCAAATTATTAACTGCATGAGTACCTATAACTTGCTGTGGGAGAGCATTCCATACTTTTATCACCCTCTTTTTGAAAACTATTTCCCTGGAATAGCCTGGGTTTAATTTTCCACTGATATCTCCTTTTCCCAGATTTCTCCAGCATTTGAAAAATTTCCTTAATCACTTATCAATTTGTTCAAAATCTTAAAACTTAATCGAATTACTCTCTCATCTTTTATATTCCAACAGAATACAAGCCATGTTAATGTGAGTGCTCCCTGGCTAGGAATGGACATCCTAATGGAGGAATCTTGAACTAGGCGATGCAATTTCAAACTAAAGGGCCTTTCATTTAAAGGAAGGAGGAATGTCTTCTGTCACAGCGTTATCAATGTTTGGAATTCTCATCCCCGTTGAGAAGTGGGGGCTGCATCATTGAATCTATACAAGACTAAGTTAGACAAATTATTGATTGAAAAGAGAGTCACAAGTTCTGGGGAACAGGGAGTTAAGGCTATTTCAGATTGGCTTGTGGGGCTGAATGGCCTACTCCTGCTCCTATATTCTATGTTCTTTGATCTCGCTGATTTTCCACTCTGACAAGTCTTATTAAATGCTTTTCAGTGCCTTAGGATTATTGCAATCTAACGAACAACTGCTGTCCCTTGGTTAGCAGACACCCAAAATACATGCATGTTGACAAAGAATATTAATTATTTAAGCTTCTCGCCCTGACTCCTTCAAAATCAGCACATCTGGGTGCAACCCTGAGGAATAACGTCTGCCTGATTACTCAGCCTTAGGACTTTCAATCTGATCTGAATGCTGTTACCCTTTAATTTTCATAGACTTTCTCAGACTATGTTTCTTTTGCAGCTCATTCATCAAATTCAAAATGTTGGGCTTAGCATATGCCAGTAGTATTGACAGCAAAGAATTCTGGGAGGTCATATGGTAGTGACTTCCTGCATGAACCATTCTGCACCTGCTGCCATCAAACTGACCAGTCAGAAAATCTACCCTCACGTTGTCCTGAACCTATGTACCAATTGAACAGTAGGCACACCTTTTGTTATCAAATTGGTTGTCAGTCTTTGATCATATTTTCATTTCTCCTTTCATTTTTTTTCTCTCTCAGAGCTTCTAGCAGCAACATATTGAAAATTACCTTTCATTCCTGGAGACAGCATGGCAGTCTGGGAGGATTGGCAACCCTGTGTATCAGCCATGTCGTACCTTGAAGGATTTACCCTTTAGCACATCACATCTCAGTTCAATCACTTCTCATAGCAAAGCAAAAAAAAAAGCCCCCTCATTCTAGACTCTCCAAATAGAGGAAATAGCCTCTCAGTTTTTGCTCTGTCAAGTGTGAGAGAAAGGCTGACAGAACCAGATGAAGATTCAATTTTGAATTAGTACCAAGGATACATAAAATCCTGGCAAAAATAACTTACAAGTAGCCAATTGTGAAGCATGAACAGTGTTTGCTTTTACTGGAGTTCAAGCAATTAAGTAAAACATACTCAGAAGATGTTGTACATTGTTTTTGTGTTGATGAGAATGAATTACCTTTATGGCAGGGTCTCAGGGTCTCACTTTAACAAAAATATAAGCAGAAAGTGCTGGAAAAACTCAGAAGGCCTGACAGCGTCTGGAGAGAGAGAAACAATTAATGTATTGAGTCCAATGACGCTTCCTCAGAACTGAAAAAGCCTGGAAAAAGATGCTTTTATGGCGTTCTCAAAGTGGAGGGAGGAGTGGAACAGATGCTATGGATGCCCACTGCAGAAAGCAAAGGGAGTGTTAATGGTAGTAAAGGAGAGATTGGGATGCAAAATATGTGTCAATAATCAGTGTGAATAATGGAAAATTGGTTAGGTCTGTTAAGAGCAAAGCCATGCAAACAAGACACAGGTGTGGAATATAATCAAAGTGGAAGATATGTTCATGTTCTGAAGATCTTGAACTCAACGTTGAGTTCTAAAGGCTGTAAAGTGCCTAGGTGCATAATAAAGTGCTGTTCCTACTGCGTAACTTGAGCTTTGCTGGAACACTATTATTATTGTAGCATAAATGTCCAAGACTTGCTGCAGTGTTCCAGTGAGACACAATGCAATTGAGAGGAACAACACCTCATTTTCCATTGAGGCACTTAACAGTCTTCAAGATGTGAATTCAACAATTTCAAACAATGAATGCTGCCCTCTATTTTGATTATCACTCCCACACATATGGGGTGGAGGGAATGGGATGTGTATAAAAAAAGTTCTTTTATAATTAAATAAATAACTCAGAAAAAGAAGAAACATTTTAGAGAAGGAAGGGCAAAAACATAGAGGAGGTACTGTTGAACTATTAACGTGGTCAGAAGAGAAGAAATGAATATTGAATAAAACAAATAACCAGAAATATGATTCTTTGAGGAGATAACACAAAGTTGCTTACGTCATAAGCAGGTTTTGAAGATCTGTAGGTAAATATTTGTATAAATGTCATGTCAGTGAATCCTTTAAGTTTCGGTATGAGCAAGATATGTAAAATGTGTACTTGTAATTCAGACATGTGATGTGTTGCTTCAGCAGTTTGCTGTGCAACAGTGAGAGGCTATAGTGCATCAAGGCTTCAATAAACATCAGAAACTGTATCCTGTTCTATTTATGGCTGTCTGTCTTTTCTTCTCTCTTGGCTGGGCCAGGATCTTGCATTGGATTAGTCCACCACATATGAGCACAGTAGTGCCACGGTCTGCCATTGCTTTCTGCAGGATGGCTGGCCAGGAAACTCTCCCACATTTGCTGACTGCCATCAGGCATACTGGAAAGATTGATAGTCTGGTAATGAACATGTTTGGCCTCATTATGAACACAACTTCTTTGACCAATGAGTCCTGGTGTGTTGGACTCGAACCTTGAGCTATTGGCACAGAGGCAGGAAGGCTGTCAGTGTAGTACACAACCTCCCATGTTCTCGCCATGAGGGAAATGTAACAGTGAATGTTTGACACATGTCAATATTATGGCTTGACAAAGACAATTCGATCATCCTCGCTTTTTCAGTCTGTTACATGTTCACCCTTTTATAGGAAGTACAGAAATGTTAAACCCTCAGATTGTGCTACAGCTCTTAGTGAAATTGTTGAAAGTGAGGCATTGACAAACATTTGGGATAAAAATATTTATTCAAAATGGATATCAACATTGTAAATGTATCAATGAGAGTGGCTGTTCAGTATTAGTGCTGAAATCACAAACTTTCTTTTAGGATGTATCCATGCTTTCATAAGAAATACAGACGGGAAGCCTTTGTAAACATATTTATGATGCTGCTTGTACTACTATAGAATCTTCTTATCCTCTGTGTTAAAAATTCATTTCTCAAGTGAACCATTGGCACTGCTGTAGACAAATAAGTTCAGAGGAAAGAACTCTAATTCTTTTTAATATTTTATCCTTCAGACTGTCTCTCTAATATATGAATTGTGATGATAACATCAAGGATCCAGATTGGAGGAACTTAGTGAAGCTGACAGGTTGAGAAAGTCAAATTAACATGGGCATTTGAAACGACAAGCTCACCCAGGCATGGCCGAGATAAATGACTTTCTACTGATGTTAATTCACTTCTTTGACATGGTCAGATGTTCCAGCTCCTCCCTGCCAATTCCCCTGTGGCCAATCTGCAGTGATAATCAGGACTGAAAAATAAAAATTCATTCAACACATATGGACAGAATGCATCCTCCTCTGGGAAATTGGGGACTGCTTTAAATGTGGTCTGTCTATTACTCACCAGAAAAATGCATGGTTGACTGTGGAAAGTTGAGGGTATAGGGTAGCATGGTGGCTGAATGGTTAGCATTACTGCCTCACAGCACCAGAAACCCAGGCTCGATTCCAGACTTGGGCAACTTTCTGTGTGGAGTTTGCACGTTCTCCTCATGTCTGTGCGGGTTTCCTTTGGATGCTCCAGTTTTCTCCCACAGCCCAAATATATGTACATTGGCCATGCTTTAAAAATTGCCCCATAGTGTTCAGGAATGTGCAGGCTAGCTGGATTTGCCATGGTAATTATGGGCCTAAGGTGGTGGGGTGAGTCTGGGTGGGATTCTCTTCGGAGTGTTGCTGCAGACTTGATGGGCCAAATGGCTTCTTACTGCACTGTAAGGATTCTGTGGAGCAGTTACGGCTTCATTTGCTGCAGCCATTAACTGCATGAATCTGGACAAGAAACACACCCCCTTATTTGAGGTGGAAGGCTGCTTAAGGATGACAGTCTAAGCCCAACACCAGTTGTAAGATCCTGATACTGATTTCTTGCTACAGATGGGCAGAATGGGATCTAACCAGTGGTTCTTTAAAGAGGCTGAAGGTAGCTGCTGCAGAAAGGGTCCAAAATTGCTGTCAACTTTTACTAACCCATCAAAGTCTGTGATTAACTCAGGGGGTCATATGGAAGCAGACTAATATTTTCCCTTCCTTCCACCATTGGTGCTGAAATGTGGCAAAAGGATGATTCTGATTAGAGAGTTTTGAATATAGATTTGCAAGAAAGGTGGACAGGAATATGGGAGGATTTAAAAGAAAGGTAAGTTGGAGGTAGCCAGCTATACAGAAGAATCAAGAGTCAATCATGCTTTTTTGAGGAATAAAGCGATGATGGCAATTTTTAAAGGAGAGGAATGGAATCATTTTTAATGTATCAACTACCACGAGATAAGGAAAGGTTCAGCCATTTTGCAAAAATGGGGTCTGACCTTCAAGATGAGCTCATGGTGGGAGGTAAGGGGAGAAAATAGCGCTTTTCGAGTTAGGACCGGGGGCAGGGTGGGGGAGAGGGTGGAGTTTGACATGTGAGCAAAGGGAATCAGAGCAAAGGCAGGGGGCAGCTAAATGACAAGTTTAATGACAAAGCAGTCCACAAAGATTTGATAATTGGTGAATGGAATGTGGAGGGAGCAGAGATATTGGTTGGTAGTTGAAATGAGAAACTGTGGTCATTTTTGCATTGCAGTGTTACCCTGAAATAGTTAGTGAGTTGGCAGACAAGAGAGAGGTCCATTGTGTGGAGCCATACTGGAAGGAATGTGTAGGATGGGATAAAGCAAAGGTCTTTCTGGGGAAAGGGACACCAAAACAAGTGATCCTTTGAGAAGTTGAGCAGATCAGCAATGTCAATAGAAGGATTTTGGAAAACTGAGACCAAACACTCAGAAGTGGTGACGTTGAAAGTAACAGACCTGCGAGACAACTCATTTTCCAGGGATGCCAGCCAAAGGAATTGAGTAGGAAGAACAATCAATGTTGGACACGAGGTCAGAAATGGAGGAGTACTGAGATATCGATGGTTTGTAAGGCTACAGAGCTGGTGCAAGGTTTAACCATGGATGGAATTGATGACAAAACTGATAATCTTTAGCAGAGGTTTCATTAGATGAACGGCTAATGTAAGTCAACGAACACAGCAATTATGGCAAATAAT